ATTTATAAGACGAAGAAGTTTCAACAGAGTAGCTCTTTAGAGCTGAACGAACAACTTCCATATTGGTAAATGTCATGCCAATTCGCAGTGCTTTACTTGACATAATAACAATAAGTAATTTTATACAAAGAAAAAAAATTCTTTTCTTACTAATTTACAATCGATAGTTACATTTTTTATGCGCTTAATAACTACATTTATCGATGTTTACATTTCTTATGCTAATAACGATCAAGCCACAGACTTGAATAACATCATGTAATATTTTTTAATAATTAGGCCTTATATGTAATTATTTTTAATTTGGACCCGTATTTGTAATTATTTTCACTTTCCGGACCCTTATTTGTAATTATTTCACTTTCCGGGCCCTTATTTGTAAATTCCCTATCAAAAATTCATTGGAAACTATGATAATTATTGTGGCAGCTGGAGCTGAGATCGGCTGAAGCTGATATTGGTGGTCTCAATCTATAATACCTTCTAAAATTCATTTATACTCTTTTATTAATAAACTAGCACTAAACCCTCATCTAACTTTTAAAAAAAATGGTCTTAAATTTTTACAATTTAATATTAAAACATTTCAAGATCTCAGCTTCAACTGCCACAATTATTGATAAGCGACGTAGGAGAACAAGGATCAACTAATAATATTTGGCTTATCATAGTTTAGTAAATTTTCTTCTAAGATTGTGTTAATCTGTACTGCTACTTAATTAGCTGATTACGCAGCTGATCACCAAAACTTTAACTCCTTCCTCAATGAATATTTGGAAATTCGCAAAAATGAAAGCGTAACTTTATAACTTAGATAAGGCCTACAAAATTATGCTCTTTTTTTGAGAAACTTCATTATTCGTCGAGGAGATACAATTTAAAGAAAAACATAATAAGGCTAGTAATCGGAAATATGCTATTTGATTGATTGGTTCTCATCGTCACCCAAACTTTAATTACTGCGACTAAATCTGTAAATGATCAGAATCATATATCATCGTTAACATAACTTAGGAGAAAATTTATTAATTTCCGATAAGCCAGAATATTATTACAAATAACAAAGTATTATCATTACAAATAATTTTCATGCGATAATATTGTAAAATCTGGATAAATTAAAACAATTTAATTTTCCAATAATTATCATTATTGGGTGCAAGACATACAATAACTCTATACTATGAAAATAATTTTCTAATAATTAAAGTATAAAATATTCTTTTAAGTATATTAGTAATTACTTCATCAAAATCTATCAAGACGTGTATTAGAGAAAAAAATAAACATATATAAATTCTATAGTTCACTATAACCGTTTTCTTTATCAAACTTTCCTCGTATCCCTTCTATTTTATATTTTCCACTTGGTTGGTTCGTATCAAACTTGCCACATATATCAGTTCCTTTAACGTAATCCGATTTATTATTTTGTTTTATTGCTTTATCAAATGATTTTGGATAATACTTTCCTTCTCTACAAATATAAAGTACAACCGGTTCATGAATGCCACCATACATTACTAAAACATGATTTGCGCTACTATCTAAGCGCGGGATAGCTAACTGCCTTCTATGTATTGCTAAACTATTTAGGTCCTCATATTTCATAAGCGTGTTTTTCCCTAATTTAACGACGTCTTTACCCCTGCGCCATAAACCGAAATAGTCTAAAGTTTCTGCAAAACGATAACTCCATTCAGTATAATCATTAGGAACTAATAAAGCAAGAACTTCATGCTTAGGTGAATGAGCCAGGGTATTGGAGCTTTGGTGAAAAACTTCACTATCTTCTAATATTTTGTAGTTTGATCTGTTGTCTATTACTACAAACATTTTATAACCTGTTTTATTTATAACGGTTATTGAGGAAAAGCATGTAGTAAAGAGACTAAATAATAATATTATTCTGAACTTATTGATATTCATTCTTGAGTTATAGTTTTTCAAAGGTTCTATGAATTAATCCAAGGTTCTTTTAATATGAGCTATACGTACGCACGTATGTACGCATGTATTTAAGCATTCGTGATACAGCACAAATTATTTTACATTGCTCATAACCCATGACGTCGCACAGGAGAATTACTCGTTATTATTAGTTTGGATGACAATTATAAACAAACAAAAGTTTCCAAAATGAAAAAGTCTTAGTATTGTATCATTTCTTTTTTTCTTGGTTGATTGCTTTTTATACCCATAAATTAATTAATTTCTCAAAGTGTACAAGTCGTAAAATCGTTTTCAAATTGAAACATGGATCAGAATAAAACTTTGATTTTGGTATTCTAACAAGGAACTTATTAACAGTTGACACGCTATTGTTGCCGTGTGCACCCAATGTCATTGTAGTTGTTTAGATTTACATTGTACACCTTAACCTTTTAATATTTCTGTACTAAAACAGGATATTACTTGAACACAGGAATGCAGGACTTTACTGTGTTTATTAAAGTAGAAATAAATGAGCTTTATGCTTGGTGATTTTGTAGTTCGAAAGAGTGCGTGTTTTGTTTTAGAATCGATGATGCAGTATTCTTTATTAATAATGAAAGAATGCAATTGCATTCTTGTTTACAAAGTAACCTGTATGTGCATGCAGCAAATGAATTATTAATAAGAACCGATAGTACTTTACTATAAATGCATCATAATTAGGGAAGGCAAATGATTTAAAACATGATTGTTTGGTTTAAAACATTCTGACGTAATTATTGCTATCGTAAATTATGACGCAATTCAATAAAAAAATTATATTTACGATTACCAGTATTAAAAAATTCCATCATAAAACTCAAAAAGTAAATTAATTGCTTGTTATCCGTTATGTCTTGTAGAAGGCTCCTTTTAAAAAAATCCGGTCGAACTTCACAAAAATTTACTGAAATTGACAAACAAGGCCGAAAAATACCCTTTCAAAAGTGTATTCACTGTGAAGAGAATTACGTTAATTTAATTAGCCGATTGAAAGTGCATCGATTAAAGCACCTATTAAAATGTAATAAGCTTCCAAAAATTATATAATAATAAATTTTTTTTTTCGTATGAAAGTTTTCTTGAAACAAATAATGCTAAATGAACAGCTACAGAAATTAATCAATCAGAAACAATAATTTTAACTTCAGACTCAGCTGCTGATGTTTTAAACTGTTTTTTTTTTTTTACCATCCCTAGACATGTATTTTCGCACGTATCCGAAATAGTGTTCTCTGATTAGCTATTTTCTTTTAAAGTTTGTATTACTCGCGTGCTTTTTTATAGTTCTGTAGTTCCAGGCGGCAGCATCTAATTGTTATCTTATTTGCTACCTTAACAAAGAATAAAAAACTGGTGAAAATATGCATTTTATACAAATCACATGACCCGGATTTTTGGTGTCAGCCCTGGAGATCTCGTAGTTCAACGATTGAGGTGTATTATGCCTATTTACATAGATCAATGAGTGTAATAATAAAAGCATAGTAAAAACATA